CCTTGATTAGATCGGCTCCCGACTCTCAGCTGATTTGTCTCAGCTGTTTTGCTCAGGGCTCTGCTGCTTCCTTGCAAAGAGTCCTGGAGCAGATTTTTTTTCCCCTAGCTATCCTGAAAAACGAAACTGAAACTGCTTTGCTGTTGCTGCAACGTTTGAAAATTAGGCAGGCAGATTTCTTTTCTTTTTCCTCACCAAAAAAGGTAGGTGCAAACGATGGGAAATTAAGGGAAAAAGAGGAGAGTTCAAGATTTTAAAACACACACAAAAAAAAGCTCTATTTAACTAGGGAATTGTAATAATTGAGATACTATTAATTGTATATTTCTGAAAGCAGAAATGGTTAAGTTGTGGTTTGGAGGAATATATGGGGGAAATTATTTGGTTTATTATTATTGGTAAATATAATTAATTGATTTGTAAGAAATTGGATTGCATGGAAATAATTGGAATATTCTTGTTCATATTGATTAATATACAAAAAAGATAGTTATATAACTAATTGATTTATATTAAAATGTTGAATTTGTATTAAACAACTAATATTACATAATTAACCAATGTGAGGATGGATATAAAATTATATGACAATGGGAAGGGGTATAATATAGAATAGAAGGGAAGAATTGAATTTGATTAAGATTAGAGATGAGGATGAAGGGTAATATTGGTTTTTTACAAAAATAGATGAGGAATAAATATGGCAAAAAGGAAATATAGAAATTGTAAATTTAATTGAAATGACTAAACACTGTTTAAATTTGTGAACCGGCCAAATACTCTGTTCAAAGAAAATACATTGTATGTTTGTATGTGTGTTTCTAATTATTGTTATTTATTCATATTTGTTCTCTTTTATTCTTTAAAGTTTAACAATTCATTCTTTATCTTAATATCTTTATATTTGTTTGGGGTTGGTTTTCTTCCCTTTCATCTTTTTTATTGTACAGCAATCTTTCTCCTCAAACCTACCACCTCTCTCTTTTCTTTCCTTCTTCCTTTCTCTTCCCCCCCTCTTCTTCTCCTCCCTACTTCCTCTTCCTTTCTCCTTCTCCTCCTCTCTTCCTCCCTCTCTTACCCTCCCTCCTACTCTAATTTCCCTTCCCTTCCTTCATCCCTCTCTATTGCTGTATCCTTTTATGCATATGGACTACTCAGAGGGCTGAAAAAGTTATTTCTGACTGGTCCTCGCACTTTTGACCAGTCCTCGAACTTATGACTGTCCTCACATTTTGCGTTTTTGCCCTGTCTTGTCACCATGGTGAAGAGAAGCAGTTGTGAAATGAGTGACATGGCTGTTAAGAATGCTGCACGGGCATAAATATGAGGATGGTCATAAGTGTGAGGACCAGTCAAAAGTGCGAGGACCTGTCAGAAATGACTTTTTTCAGCTCTCTGAGTAGTCCCTATACACATAGCCATGGCCATCCGGTCACATGACCAGCTAGCCACGCCCACCCAGTCACATGACCTCCAAGCCACGCCCACAAAATAAGCCACGCCTACAGAACCAGTAGTAAAAAAATTTTAGAACCCACCCCTAGTTGGGGGTCACCACAACATGAGGAACTGTATTAAAGGGTCGCGGGAAGGTTGAGAACCACTGATTTAAACCATTCCAGTTTCAGTCTTTGTTCTTTCTACTTCTTTTGAAATCGTGCTCCAGTTGTTTAAACAAACACTCCTTCAGTATTTTCCCACGGTGGTCTAAATAAACTTAGTGCAATGCTTTCTTTTCATCAGTAGATGTCTTTCTCCTATTCACAAATCCCCTGACAACAAAGTATTAATTGTAAATCCACAAAAATAGTTACTTCCTCTTCTTCAAATTAAGTCCTTTTGTTGTTTAAAGAATACTTCTCTGTTTTCTTTTTCTTATCTTATTTTTAATTTCTTCCAAGTCCAGTTTTAAATCCAGGTGGAAGGTTCTTTTTAGGGCTTTAGTTATAAAGTTCCTCTTTTTTTTCCACTTGAATTCCCGAGTGCCAATTAGCCGCTAATTACGCGTTGGGACTTCTTTCAAGCTTTAAAAAAAATTTTTTTCTTCTTACCTGTGAGTTGGCCAATCACTCACCCGGTAACAATACTCTGTTCAATCTCCGCTCCTGCTCAGATCTTAGTCTGGTTGCCCCAGTTTGTAGTGGCCGTAACGGCTGCCTCCCTCACCGCCGGGTCAAAAAGCTGCCTCCAACTTTCTGAGGAACTTGCCTGTTCCTCTTGGCCTTCTGAGGCGCCTCTCTCTCTCCCCTGTCCCTCCAAGACAGTTCCGGTCCGAAGACTCCCCAACAGCGGTTTGTCTGGCTGGGTTTTTGCGAAGCTCATCGGAGCTTCGCTATTTCCCATTCAGTATCGCCACAACACTTCCGGTTCCCTCGTCTATTAGAATCTTGTAGTCTCTCAAGATACATCTTTTTTCCACATTTATTATAATATGTCAAAATTCATGTAATACTTTTTTGAGGAACTATTATTTATGGTTATTCTTTTTTTCCCTTTCCTTATATTATAGACATGTCTCTTTCGTGGATTGTCCTGGCCATGACATTTTGATGGCTACTATGTTGAATGGAGCAGCTGTCATGGATGCAGCTTTACTGTTAATAGGTAATTATTAGTGTAGGAGTTTGATATTGCAATAGATCCATGACATTATTGTGGCTAAAGAATTTTACTGTTAATATCATGCTTTCAAGTTACATTATGTCATGTTATGCTGGAGAAGGAAACACTCTGGAAGGATGCATTTTTAAAAATATAGTGGAAAGTAGCTATTGGGAAAAGAGGGCAGGGAAATGAGTGACCACCAGTAGAGAAAGCCAAATAATTCTCATTCCATTATTTTTCTTAGCAATAACTAAGAAGATTCAAGCACTGCTTTGTAATCATCAAATGTATTGCCTGATTGAATTTAATAAAATTTTAAAGCAAGTTAATATATTATGTGCTACTTTCTCTGCTGGAAAAATCGGTAGTTTCTACATCTCCTTTTCCATATAAACCTATGTTCCAATTAACTTGTCATTCCTGAACAAGAAAAGGCAAAGAGAATGGTGTCAGAAGTATGCATTTAGATCATGGAGAGCTGCACACCTCATATTCCATTCAAACACAGAGAAGTATAGGCTTCTGGAGTCACATTCTGTGCATGCTGATTATTGTTCTGCTCTCAATCTCCTGAAATAAGGATACGGAGCTTCTCTTCTACTAAGTTATAGAATAGACATAAAATTAGTGGCTGACATTAGCAGATACTAAAGTAGGCTTCCTGCTATCTCTGCTTCAGAAAGAAAGTGAAATTCACAGCAGTGTGAGATAGATAGAAATCCTTTGCCAGATCTCTTTCTAGATACTGCACTGACTAGTTTATAGTGAATGTATTCAGTCAATTTCACATCCAATACATTTTCTCTCTTTTTTGTCACATGCACACAGATATGTTAGCATTGAAACATAGGGGTTTACAGAAGTAAGGTTGTGTTAGTGTTCATATTGCTATAAGGATACCAGTACATTTCCTGGATTACATAATCAATTAGAGACACAAACTTCACAACCTTGTAAACAAGGTTTCATTAATTATAATCCTTATTGTAATACAAACTATATTTACTCATTACACGAAATTCACATGTACAGTTTCACTCTCAGGTGTTCTAATTACCCCTAATTATAATTTACAGAAGGATTAGTATCCTGTATTTTAACCTTTTGTTAAGAAGTTGATCAGTGTTCTATATTCTGTTGTAAACATTGTTTTTCTGTTATTCCAGCTGGCAATGAATCATGTCCTCAGCCGCAGACCTCAGAACACTTAGCTGCTATTGAAATTATGAAACTGAAACACATTCTAATTCTACAGAATAAAATTGATTTGGTCAAAGAGAGCCAAGCCAAAGAACAATATGAACAAATTCTAGCATTTGTGCAAGGTGAGTTTCCAGGTCAAAATCGAGAAGTCTCTCTTTGTTTACTACAAGCCAACTTTTTGTCTTGCTTCACAAACAGTTTATTTTCAGTTATTGCCATATCAAATTTGTCAAACTAATTTTGCAAATGTATTAGCTAATTTTAGTAAATTTATCCAAGATCAGAACTCCAAAGCAAGCAAGCAAAAAGTGACTAAAGGTTAAATGGGGAAATCTCGTAAAGAAACCAAGTCAAATTCCAGTAAATTCTTCATAGCAAAGACCCTGACAAAGTGAGAGTCAAACCAGACCCTCATATATCAAGATTGTACTAATAATTTAGACTTGCCAAAATTGTTCCTTAAAAGATCTTAGTCCAGAACAGGGGTGTCAAACTCAATTTCATTGAGGTCCGCATCAGCGCTGTGGTTGATCTCGGGGGGTCAGGCATGCATGGCCGACTGGGTGGGCATCACCAGCTTGATGCCACTCACTGGGCATGGCCAACTGGATGGGCATGGCCAGCTTGACGCCACTCCCCAAACTGCTGGCATGTTTCGTCTTTGCATTGGGTAGACCTGGCCTAAACCAAGTTGGCCCAATGTTTCCTCTTTGCATTGGGTAGACTAGGCCAAAGTGACGTGGGTCAGTCCCTTACATTTTCCAAGAAGGCCCTATGGGCCTGATGCCACTCACAGGCTTGTGTTTGACACCCCTGGAATAGGTAATGGGTTCAGCAAGAGATTCTTTTTCACAGTTACGTATTTTTATTTATTAAATAAATGTATATAGCTACCCAATTTACACATAGGTGACTGCAGTTTACAAAATGATGTAAAGGAATGTGTGGATAATCTTGGGGAATGAGGGGCAGAGATGCTGCCTAGGAAATAATCAGATGAGTATTAGGAAACTGGACTTACTTAGTAAACATTTCACTTTTCATCCAAAAAGCTTCTTCAATTTTAAATGAAGAAATTAGAACTGAAGAAGCTTCTTGGATGAGAAGCAAAATGTTTTTAAAGAAAAAAAAACCTAGGAAATCCAGTTGCCTTTTGGAAAAAGCACTTTTGGGACTACCATTACCTGTATGATTGAGAATCTCCGTAGACAATCAGATGAGAGATGGAGGAGTCTTCAGTGGCTGGAGAGGAAGAAATTTAGGATTAGTCCTAATTGATCAGATGTTTAAAACAGACAAGAGGAAGTTTGTACCTTCAGTCATGCAAGATTCTGTTAATGTTACCTTCCACTAAAGTAGAATTGCTTATTTAGTTGTGCTTCTTGTCTGGTTTACCTGGGAATATTGTCATAAAAACGGTCTGTATTACTTCTGGTAGTTTGGTTGAGCATTATCTCTGTTATCCAGTTACTTCATTTGCAGTAGAACATTTAAACACTGAGCCAACAAATACATGACAGGCAATTCAATTTGATTGCAACAGTACTGTCTGTATAGAATTTGTAACTGGTGTTGGTACATATTATAATTATACTCTTGTCTGAAATTTTTAAAGATTTTAAAGATTTTCTATTTGTAATAGCCTGTATCTGTTAAAAGTAGAATGTTTATCCAGTTGATTTCAAGTCACTGTAGAGTGCTTATGTCAAAGAAAGCATTGTATGTTGTTGCTGTCTTTTGCTTATCTGTTCTAAAGCAAAATTATAGACTCAGATTTTGCACTAAATGCTCTTGCATTCTAATAACAACAAACAAGAGTAAAGAACATTAATCTATCTGACATTCTATTTGTTTCTTGATCTTTTTTTAGATTTTTATAATTGTAAGGGATTATCAAACATTGGTGAAAAAAAGAGGATGAGTTTTTATCCTTTTAATCCTTCTCGGGCCAGCTTTTCTTTCTTTCTTTCTTTCTTTCTTTCTTTCTTTCTTTCTTTCTTTCTTTCTTTCTTTCTTTCTTTCTTTCTTCTTTCTTTCTTATTTAAAACTGTTTAATTTAATTCGGGAAGTAGAGGAATATACAAATATTTCCTAGCAGAAAATAATCCTGGAAATGCTCAGTTACTTTTAGTCAAGGAGAAGCCAGAAAAACCATTTTTATGATTAGAAAATCGTCTTGCTGATTACTCAGAGGAGGAATTTGAAGAATGATGGCTAATTGTAACTACTACTTCAAATTGAAGACCAGTAGATGAACTGAAAATAAATTGATGCTTCAACTGAAGGAAGCATTTTTTCACTACAAATTCTTTCCTATCCTTAATTGTGGCATAAAAAGCATAAAAATCAAATCACTTTAGACCCTGAATCTTTGCCATTCATCCTCAAACATTAATTTTCAAAGAATAGAATTGATTTATTGAAAATTATGATTATTTTTTCTGAACCAACTTTTCTTTAGCAAACCATTCTGTTAGTGAATCTGTATGGTTTCTTTTGTTCTTGTCCAAAAACAAATATATTCTGTAGATCAGGGGTGTCAAACTCAATTTCATTGAGGGCCGCATCAGGGTTGTGTTTCACCTCAGAGGGCCGGGGGGCGTGGCCAGGGTCAGCGTGGCCAGGGTGGTCGTGACAGCATTCAGCCTCCTGCAGCACTCTGCCAGCCAAAACAGGGTGCAGGGGTTAATTACAAAATGTGGGCTTTGCTTTGTGACATACAGATCCAGCAAGCAAGGGGCGTGGCCTGCACAGAAAATACACTTTTGTTTGGTTATGAAGAATATCCACAAACTCAGATGTAGACTAAATGTAGATTGACTTTTAGCTACACACCTTCCCAGCAAATAGCAAATTTTGAAGTTTCAGGTAAAGAAGATTCATTTTAAGATGAGTAACCACAGTTTGCATGTTGGAGGTTCCTAAAGGAATGTTGGGAAACTCTGTATTTTAAAGAACATTTGAGGGAGGGTTGCAGAATAGCCTTTCTCTGCCTGAGGCTGTAAAGACCCAGCACCAATCAAAACACTTTTTGTGAAGCAATTGATCACACTGACAGGGTAAGCCACTAGTATATGAAAATAGGAGCAAACCCCACTCCCTTCTAGTACTGATGAAGTTACCTAGTTTGGTAATGAAACATCTGCAAGAAAACCATCAAGGTCAGAGAGCACCAAGGACCCCACAATTCAATCCTGAGCTACAAATATTCTCTTCTATCAATAAACACTTTTTGATTACTCAGAGCCTGCCTTATATGAGATGGCTCCCACTGGATTTCATTCTAAATTTTGATATGATTTCTGTAAATAAATGTAGAATTATAGTGGCTGGGTCTTTGATCCTTCATACATCAAAAACATACAAAGCTAAGGGATAAACAAATAAAAAAAAAGATTTGAAAAAAGAAAATGCTCAGGAAAGAAAAAATAAAAGTGTAAGAAAAAAAGAAAGAAGGAAACCCAAAAAAGAATGACTTCCAACTTTTCTTGGTACAGATATAAGTAAAAAATATATCAAACTCTTACTCTAAGATTAACAATTGTCTACATTATTTCCATAATCCCATGTCTAATAACTTTTAAACCAACTTTTAATTTCAGTTTCTCACAAAAAGTCCAGTAATGGTTCATATCGCTTTAATTACTTTTTTTTTTTTTAATTTGATTTATATGCCGCCCTTCTCCGAAGACTCAGGGCGGCTTACAATGTGCTCAGCAATAGCCTTCATCCTTTTGTATATTTATACAAAGTCAGCTTATTGCCCCCACAAACTGGGTCCTCATTTCACCTACCTTAGAAAGGATGGAAGGCTGAGTCAACCTTGAGCCTTGGCGAGATTCGAACCCTGCAGTAATTGCAGGCAGCTGGTCTTAAGCAGCTTAATAACAGGGTGCCTTAAACCCTAGTACTACCAAGGCTTGTTAAGGAAACCACAACTGATTTATTTAATTGCACCAAACTCGAAATAAAACAGAAATGGAAAATCCTAAACTCTAGTATAGACCCATGCTTCTCAACTTTGGTAACTTTTAAGGTGCATGATTTCAATTCCCAAAATTTCCCAGGCAGCATGAAGTTAGTCCATCTGATCTACAGATAGGGATTTTTCCATTCCTCTTTTACTGGTTGTTATGAACAATCATAATGCAAAATCCTCACTTCCACCCCATCCCAGAGCAACAGAATTCCTCACTAACCTCCTTTCCAGCTCCGTTGTCCTGCGTGCAGAGCAACAAAAGAAGATCATGTGACTACCAGTTTAGAAAAAAATGCAATCAGACCTTCTATTCTGGGGGTGGGGAGAGCTCACGAAATTAGAAGGTCTGACTTAATTTTTTTTTTTTTTTTACTGGTAGTCACATGGTCTTTTGTTGCCCTGCATGCCGGAGAATGGAGCTGGAAAGCAGGTTAGTGAGGGAATTGTGTTTGCTACAGGATTTTGTAGGAGGCAGTCCAGATCAAAATCGGGCCACGTATTTGGTCTGGATGCACGTCCCATTTTTGCTAGTAGAGGCATTGTGAGCCGGTTCTTTACTATTTCTAGCGGGCTGGATCTAAGCACCCCATGGGCAGGATCCAGCCTGTGGGCCTTGAGTTTGACACCTCTGCTGTAGATTATAGAGCAAAAAATGTATTTGTGCTGGAGTTTCCAATATGTTAATCATAATAGAGCATTACAAGTATTATAATACGTGACTGTTTGTTGAAATAGGTACAGTTGCAGAAGGAGCTCCAATTATTCCAATCTCAGCACAGCTAAAATACAACATTGAAGTCGTTTGTGAATACATTGTAAAGAAAATTCCAGTGCCTTTAAGGGACTTCACATCAGAACCAAGGCTTATTGGTATGTCTATTTGAGTCACTGATTCTACGTAGAAAGTACACTAACACAGGAATTTGGTTAATGATGTGATAAATACATATTTATTGTAGTCATTGGTAGTATTGTTAACATAGCATCTTTGCTACATAGACTTTATAGGAAATATTTTGATATGAAAAATTTAGCTTAAATTCAACAGTGCTATATATCATTAATTCTATGTGAAAGTGATACGTTGTGTGATTAGAATCCAGCAGGACACATATTTAGATGAATTGGATCACATTAAAATAGTGTGTATTTATGTAACATATTTTATAACTTCAGAATCACGTAAATTTCTGTGCCCTCTTAATGGAGTGATGGTAAGCATAGTGATAAGAAATTAAATCATACTGATTTCATAGGGCCAATATTTATTGATTTGAGGACTGCAACATTTAACAGATTATAAGAGGAACTCATTATTTGTATGGATAATATACTTTTTTTGTCAAATCAAGAACAGTTTGTCTCATATTCATGAGGTTCTTATTCAAGAAAACTGAATAGATGGCTCCCATAAACTGATTTTGAAATTCCACTTTGTAAATTATCATGTCTTGAAAGTTTCTGTTCAAGATAAATAAATCTGATACTGTTTTGTGCTCCTAGAATTAGTAACTGTTTTTGAATTGAACCTTATCAGATATATTTTCGTAAATGGGTAAAATGTCTAGAAGAAATGTATTTCTAGACATGCAATGTTTGTTTCAAGGGTTTGTGATGTCGTCACATCTACCACATGAAGGTCGATCAAGAAATTGATTTCAGGAAGCAGTAACATATATTTTTAGTTTCTTTATGTATAAATTCCTTTTAATTATTTAATCTTACCTTACCATGAGGACCCAGATTGTTGGGGGCAATATGCTGACTCTGTAAACCGCTTAGAGTGGGCTGTAAAGCATTGTGAAGTGGTAAATGTCTAAGTGCTATTACTAGTGCTATCTTCCAAAAAGAAATATGGATCCAACAATATACACCAAATCAGTGGCTTAATAAAGTATTAGATTCAGAGTGTGACTAATTGATAAATATATTACGGTATTAAAATGTTTAAAGTTTTTTGCAAACTGAACTTAATGGAATGTTCTTTTCAGTTATTAGATCTTTTGATGTTAATAAGCCTGGATGTGAAGTTGATGACTTGAAGGGAGGTGTAGCTGGTGGCAGCATTCTCAAAGGTGTATTAAAGGTAATGTTTCTTTCCAATGCTGATTAACAGACTTATCATTTTATGTTAATGATAAAATTGTATGTATTCTTCCCTCTATTCCTTCTACATATGTGGGAGTTGAGGGATTCTCCAGAACTTGTTTGGTGAACATGAAGGCTAGGAGATTAAAACTAAATCGTTGGATGAATCAAAGTC